AGTCGACAGTGATCGGGTTTGCTCGAGCTTTTCTTACACGGTTTAGTCACCAAACTAAGTCTGATATTTGCTTGAAATGCACTCTTCTAACCCGTAGCTTAATCACCGAACTAAGTCTTACATCCGCTTAAGAGACGCAACAGAACTCACTCCCCAACCTCTATAGTAGTTACTTTGGATCACTTGATAAAAGAGAAAAGGCAAAAATTTTGATGTGCAAGGAGTTTTTATACTCTTGCATTTAAAGAGAACGCGTCAGGTTAGGGATTTGAACGACCATTCAGAGCGTAACCTAATTACTCTCGAAAACATGAGCACAGTCGTGGTGCAATAATTATGCAGTAATTAATGGTTAAAACTGCTGATCTCTCGAATTTTAAATTAAGTACAAGTTGCTGTCGAAATTATGTATGAAATTTCTTGTGATCATACGCAGTTGATTATTCGCATTCTTGGATGTACCACTGCGAATTGATGTTGTAAGATGAGCACTTTATGAGAATGTTGGAGGTTGCACGCTTAGTTTGAGTTTTGCGATGGTAGTTTGTTTTAGAAGAAGTAAGTTATATGTCACACGATTGCAGAAGCAGGTATGCCACTTGATGGTTCGAGATAGCTGAGCATTTGCTTTTTATAATTCAAAAACGAAACTCTGTGTTTCGAAGTAATAAACATTAAGTATATGACATGATATGTCACACCATCGATTGCCATTCATATTAGATGTGTGATACTGAAATTTCTTGTTTACATACAAACTCAGTTGACGGAAATGAAATCTTTTATCATAATTGAAACTCAAGTTACGATTCAAAACAAGAGAGATTCCCTTATAAAATCATAGATTAGCAATCGGATTCAATATCAAGCAAAGTTTTCTTAATTGGTGCCTCAAACTCATATCCAGCATGCGACTATAGCTTTATTTAGAGTTAAATAAGATGCCTATGTGGCATTAAAATATTTACTTTACACTAAGTCACTTCTGAGTTTAAATTAAGGCTTCCTCATGTGGCAACGACTATTGAAACTCCTTCCGCAACTACTTTGACTGGCTCTTTTCTGCTTATATCAACACAGATGCTTGCTCTACAATAAAATATCAAGCATTTTATTGGTTTCACTATTATTTTTGATTTAATCATGGATTTATATTATACAATCAGTTGTGTGTTCTCACGCCTTAATATTATGCTGGTAATATTTTTTAACTTTTTAACCCCTTACTATAAAATAATAATTAAAAATAATGACTTCCAACCAAATAAAATATAATAAATAACATAACATTTAAATAACTATATTCTAATTATATCATCAAATTTAAATATTTTTATGGATGGTTAAAAACAAACTTAACGTTAACATTGTGATGTTATAAATAAATGAAAATTTTATTGTATGTATTTTTTTCAAATAATATATGCAATTCGTTTCTTAAATTGTTAAAAGAAAGGAAGTTAAAGTTGTTCTCCCTAATAATCATGAACTTTTTAAATTTATTTACAGTTAAATACGAGGAGCAACATCATTACATCATTTTATGTATAGTGAAATAAGAGAATGCATAATAATATAGCTTAAGAAATCTATTAAGAAAATGATATCGTAATAGGTTTAATTGGTCTCGCTATCTAATTTCATTATAAGTTAAACATATTACAAAGTTTCGTCAATATCAGTCCAAACTGTGGCTTTCTTTAGGTAAAAATACAGTTAATTTTGAAATTAAGATAGTACAAAACCATGGAATCGCATGAAATAGTACTATCATCATAAGAAGTAAGCTCACAGCGGCTTTTCTCGTCAAAAGCAGTTGACACGTCTATTAGACAAGTAAAAACGACTCGCACCGTGCGGAGGCTTACAATAAAATAAGAATAACAAAGTTACCTATGATACGGGAGAAATATACAGTAGTTTATATACAGGACATCCCTCCAACAATGGAAGAAAAATGTCGTAAGGTAAATGTCCCTATCAAGGAATATTGTCCTTATGGCAAAACGATTTTTTATTTTTTGTACTTAAATTTTTATTGCTTATTTATAAGTTCACAAAAATTGCAATAAAAGCTTAAAATATCTTCAAAATTTTTAAAATTTTTTATCTGAATACACCGATATAAGAAGTCAATAAAAAATAATTTAAGAACGTGCACTTTTTGCATCTAAAATTTATGAGAATAAGTGACACTTATCATGAAGAGAAAGGACTTCTTTACCCATACTGTAATAATTATATAGCATTATATGAACCCGGAGTCAAATTTTTGTGCATATATTGAAGCTATACTTTAGATTTATACGTATAGTTAGATAAAAAACTGAATATTTTTATTAATTTTTGAGCGTTCCGTTTCATGTTCACTGTTGGTCAAAATATAGATTAAAAGAAACAGCAAAAATAACGCATTCCTCATTACCTGCGTAAAAAAAAAATCTTGTCCCTATCGTGAAGCACACTTTACTGGTCGTTATTATAACGTATTAAACAATTTCGCAGTGTTTAAAGTACTATTTATTTGTTTAATAAGATCAGATTTGTCACTGTTCGTCTTAAATTGATTGGTAAGTAATGTTAAATCACAATAACTTGAAAACATAAAACTTAACCTTAAAACTCTGTTCAACAAAAAGTATCACTTATTTATTTTAGATTTAAGTATACAAAAATAGCAAAAATAGGTGCCAAAAAACAAAAATAAAAAATAAGAAGAGCCTTTAAATTTAAGCTCTCCTGAGATACAGTTGCATATAATACTGCACCTTAACTTGGTAGTATATACCCCTATAAATTATTTTCGATAACCGCACAAGAATTTCAAAAAATATCTTTCTCTTCGTTTCTCTTACTTTGTTTCAAACACTTTTAATCAATTCAACATACACGAAAGCAATAAACCTTTGGAAATGTTTAACAACATTTTCGTACTGCCTGAAAAGTGTTTGCCAAAGAAAAAGTAAAATTTGTCGCTGCATGCAAATCTGATCTGTGGTGAATCCATCCATAAACAAAAGGAAGATAAAGAAGCTGAAAAAAAGATGCAAGTTAAGAAGAAAGATTTAGTTGTTAAAAAAAACAGATATAGAAATCAAGGAGATCGAAATCAAAATATTACAGGAAAGAGGTGATGGGAAAAAAAAATTGCAAGAAGAAAAAAGTCTCAGAATGATAAAAAGAAAGAGTTGGACTTGCAAATTAAAGCTATTTTATTAAATATCAAACAAGAAAAACCGTAGATAGTTGATTATAATTTATTTGAATCTAAGATTTTGTATTAAAATGTACTCAAACTGGAAATGTTTTATATTTACCAAAAACTATAATAAAAAAAATTTTACTAATGTAAAAAGGTAATAAGAATAAACAATAATTTTAAGTAATAAAAAGAAATAAATACGAAATTTATAAAATAAAAAGTAAATCATGTATATTTCACTTTAGCTTACCCCCTCTTACTTATTATTACCTTTAAATTACACATAAATGATTTGAAAGTTCTATGCATATTGATTTCAAGTCATGTTTCGGGATAGGGACAATGACTGCAGAACACCGCTGCCTAACTACTGCATACGTTCTGCTTAATGTACATTTTGATCACCTTCTAATTTATCACATAAATTTTTGAATTCTGCTTAAATTTTGATATGAAACAGCAACCTACATTTAAAAATAGATAACCCACCATTATTGATCGAAATTTCTTGATTAAACGTTAAAAAAAATTTTTTATCTGTAATAAAGGTAAATCGATACCAAAATTCGTTCTGTGGTAGGGGCATTTACCTTATATAAAATTAGTTGTAGCAATTGAAAGAAGAACTACATCATCAAACTAGTAGAGCAGTTAAAATACAAGTCTAATTAAATTTAAAATGTAGATAACGAGACCAATAGAACCATTTATCAATTGAAACTCCAGCTACTACCAGAATCTCACGTAAAATTTTTTAACTAGTTAAGTTAATCTTTTAAGAATTATTTCTCCTTGTCTTATCTTTTGTTAAACATATAACAATTACCTTGATAGTCGTAAAACATTAAATAAAATGAAAATAATATATCTTAACTATTATTTGCGCATGTGCAGAAGACGGTCGACGACTTTTTCCACCATTGATACCCATTATTTGACGGTGAAAATGCCATTATATTATAGTATTACATTCTTTAAGAAATTCTTATTTAATACTATTTTAAATGATTTGTAAAACTATTCAGAAAAAAAAGATTAATGAGATAATGTTACAAACGACAATATCGAAGGATAAGTCTGCTTAAGGACAAGTACTAAATCTGTCTGCATGCTGTCGTAGGTTAAAAAAAAAATAATCAACTCATGTTTTTATTGCAATGGAATTTGCAGTGAGAATAAAAACGTTTCGGGGTAAAAAAGTAGTTTTTATGCCAGTGGTGTAAAGTAAAACTGATTCTCGTAAAAAGAGAAGAATTTAGTAATTCAAGGGCGCAAAGTGAGGTCTGAGGATGCAAAGCATATCTGCAGGGCACATATTGCAAAATAGACCTAGAGCACCAAAAAGTACTTTCTTGCCAGTGGTCGTAAAGTCATTTACTGGATTCAAAGATTGTCCACATTCAAAAAATTGTACTTTTTTTACTTTAAGAGTTTTTTTTAACCTTTGGACGTTTACTGCACACTCAGTATGTAAAATAAAATTCACACCTAGTGCACATCCAACCAAGGCAACCACAAGGAGATCTGGTGCTTGCCTTGCAGACAAACACCAGCAGGTACGAAAACTATCATTTCACCTTTGATAAGAACATTCTTTACACCCTAGTGATGTACCATTATTTACTACTCTTCCAGTCTTAACATGTGCTAAATCTATTTGTCATGTAAACGAAAAATTATTTTACGTAAAATTTTTGTAGCTAAAAATAATTATAATTCAGTAATACATTTTTAGGTAGTAGTCTCATAAGTTATGCCAATAAATATGTTGAAAAGGATTAAGTCTATTATTTCTTACTTATCAAATAGTTGCGTGTCCTTTGTATGCCGTAGTTGCAACAGAATTCTATATAAACCCAACTCCTTCAAGCGACTTTGACGCTGCGCTGCTCCTGGTTCTTCACGCCATACTAGATTGCATACGCAAAATATTGCTGCTATCTGCAGTTTAACATTGATATGCATCTATAAAAATATTAGAACCGATAGATGTCAACTATAATTTCATTGGAAAAGTAGTTTATTATAACTTTATCCTATCGTCACATATCATAAGAGTACATAAAAACAATATTAAAAAAGTTGTATTGTAGATGATCTTAATATTTAGTGTGTATCTTTGAAAAATCAGCTCACACGTTAGCTAACTCTCTGGATTTTGGGATGATGACTGCCTAATAAAAATAAATTTAAGTAACAGGTGTCAACTTCATGTTATTTTTATCACCTAACTAGAATATTTTTTGTTATAACAGAGAGTATTTTTGACACATGATTTTAACCTGCAGATAGTGCGATGTAGAATGTACATCAGTTTTCTGATCGTTATAAAATATCTTATAATTAGAGAATGTGGCTAGCAATTCTCGTAGTGGAAGTTAAAGAAATAAAAATAATGTAAACTAAAAGGTATCAAAAACTTTCTAATTATTTTGGCAAGGCTATGCAGATTCTTAAAGAGTATTGGTTGATGTTGTGCGAGGATTATCTCTATGGACCATACGAAAGCTGCCACGCTGCATACTGTTGCAGGCGAAGGCACGAGGCAGTAGAGCCTAGAAAAATACACCGTTCAGCACGCCTCAGCTCTCGCCCCGCCACCCAACCGCAGTATATACTCTATACGTAACGAGTACTGTGTTTCTCATCCGCATACTCCATCCTGTAATGACGTTACCTCAACAGAAGCAGACAGGAAACGTTCAATCTGATCGTGAGTGTACATACATTTATTAATAAGGAGCGATCGCGGCTAACTTAAGAATGGGCGTACATGCAAGCTACGTGCTAGGTATCATACATTTTGTTTGTTTTGTGTTTTGTGTTTTTTTTTTTTCAAGTAAAAACCTTCCTGGTACTGTGTCGTATTGTATAAGCGCTACGAGTACACTAGACAAATGACGTTCAAGCTTTACAAAGCATCGGCCCGCAGTCAAACGTTCCCTCAGTACAGCTTCCAAGTGAATTCAGCATTAAGAAGCCGAAGGCATGGCTAACTTAGATCAAATGCTTCAAGAAGTAAGTCTCCGTAGCTAGCCTTTTTACAGAAACACCGACAGAGAAAATCGATTTGCTTTGGTACATGATAGGCGAGAAGTATGAAGCTGAAACTAGCCGCTTCCCCTAGCCGCGTGACGGTCATAATACCAAACAGAATTTGATGACTCCGAACAATAATTTATTAATAAATAAAGTACGTTTCGTCCGAACAATACCTACTCTAGATAATTCAAAAGATTTTGGAAGGGTACACATCACTGATTAGCAACAATTAATTAACTTTTTAGCGAAAACAAAGCGATTTCTGGAGTTTTTTCTAACTTCCCAAAGTTAGGGACTTTGAACAATATTTCTCTGATGAATAAAGTATGTCTTCTCTTCACAGTATATACTATAGATAGTTAAATATTTTTTAGAAAGGTGCACACCGTCGTTAAATAATAAATAATTAGTTAATAAACGGAAATGAAGTGATTTCTTGAGGTCAGAGGATTTGTTTAAAGCAGATTTTACCTAACAGATACAACGGCTCTTGCCAACGTTAAAGATGAGTTAACACAATTTGTTTTGCCAAAAAAATCATATATTTGAAAGTTACAAGTTTTACTCTCGGGTCTAGCAATAGAATGAAAGTGTTTATGCCTTTGTTACCATGTTACACACTCACACCAACACCTGTGAGTATGGGACTTTAAAGGACGAATCAATCCACGATAGAGTTGTTATCAGTTTGGGTGACACGATGTCATCATAAAGACTGCAGCTAATGGCTGACTTGACATTAGAAAAAGCAGTTACCACAGCTAAGTAAGCTGAAATAACAGAGATCAAGATTATGCGTACTACTCAGAGTGCAACTGAGAAAGCAGCAATTGTTCAAATTGCACGTAGGAATAAGCCAACACGTTCTGCTTCAGAAACAATTGATTCGAAGAACCCCAGTAGAAAACGGCGCCTTCTCTAGTGCGTTTATCATAAGTTTTCTGTGCTGTAGATGCGCATATTTCCAATACCGAATCCCCAAGAACTGCCCCGCTATAAACTCTACATCACAAAAATTCCAGAAGAGTAAGAGTAAGAGTAATTTATTATTAGGCTAGGGACCATAGGTCCATAATAGCCTTGGATTAGTGTACGTAGCTGCTGAACAGCCTACAGCGTTCATAAGGACTAATTTGTCCTGTAATATATTTAGTATGAGACATATGCAACTTAAAAAAGAAAANGAAACTAGCCGCTTCCCCTAGCCGCGTGACGGTCATAATACCAAACAGAATTTGATGACTCCGAACAATAATTTATTAATAAATAAAGTACGTTTCGTCCGAACAATACCTACTCTAGATAATTCAAAAGATTTTGGAAGGGTACACATCACTGATTAGCAACAATTAATTAACTTTTTAGCGAAAACAAAGCGATTTCTGGAGTTTTTTCTAACTTCCCAAAGTTAGGGACTTTGAACAATATTTCTCTGATGAATAAAGTATGTCTTCTCTTCACAGTATATACTATAGATAGTTAAATATTTTTTAGAAAGGTGCACACCGTCGTTAAATAATAAATAATTAGTTAATAAACGGAAATGAAGTGATTTCTTGAGGTCAGAGGATTTGTTTAAAGCAGATTTTACCTAACAGATACAACGGCTCTTGCCAACGTTAAAGATGAGTTAACACAATTTGTTTTGCCAAAAAAATCATATATTTGAAAGTTACAAGTTTTACTCTCGGGTCTAGCAATAGAATGAAAGTGTTTATGCCTTTGTTACCATGTTACACACTCACACCAACACCTGTGAGTATGGGACTTTAAAGGACGAATCAATCCACGATAGAGTTGTTATCAGTTTGGGTGACACGATGTCATCATAAAGACTGCAGCTAATGGCTGACTTGACATTAGAAAAAGCAGTTACCACAGCTAAGTAAGCTGAAATAACAGAGATCAAGATTATGCGTACTACTCAGAGTGCAACTGAGAAAGCAGCAATTGTTCAAATTGCACGTAGGAATAAGCCAACACGTTCTGCTTCAGAAACAATTGATTCGAAGAACCCCAGTAGAAAACGGCGCCTTCTCTAGTGCGTTTATCATAAGTTTTCTGTGCTGTAGATGCGCATATTTCCAATACCGAATCCCCAAGAACTGCCCCGCTATAAACTCTACATCACAAAAATTCCAGAAGAGTAAGAGTAAGAGTAATTTATTATTAGGCTAGGGACCATAGGTCCATAATAGCCTTGGATTAGTGTACGTAGCTGCTGAACAGCCTACAGCGTTCATAAGGACTAATTTGTCCTGTAATATATTTAGTATGAGACATATGCAACTTAAAAAAGAAAAGATTATAGTAAATAAAATTAATAGTAATAAAAACTAAAAAAATAAGTACAATGAGAACTAAGTCTAAAGCTAGCTAAGGCTGAGGAAGTTAAACCTAAGAGTTTAGACGTTTATTTCGTGCCTTGATGACTTTGAGGAGCCAATCCTTGTTCCAAGTGATTAATGGTAGGCGTAGCTGAGTGGGTAAACGGTTCCATTCCGTAGCCGCCCCAACGGTAAACAAGTGCCTAAAGACATCAAGGTCAGCTCGCACTTTTTGCCGTTCTAGAGCATCAGAGCTTCGCTGGCCAACAGCATTAAAAGGTCTCGACTTGAACTCAAAAAGCTAGTCCATGTATGGAAACACCTGTGAACAAACCAGTCACAGTCTGGTATCACTAGGTAGGCTGTCACCAAAATGTCTAAGCCGAGCTAGTGCAGAGTAACAATTTCTGGCAATTGAGATACTATGTGCTCTCCATGTGAGAGAACTGTCAAGTGTGATACCAAGCAGTTTAACAGTCTCACTGGGTTCGATACTAATGCCACTGAATGAAATGTCATCAAACAATGGCAGAATGCCATACATTTATAGCTTATTAATTAGTCCTCTAGTACCAAACCAAATTGTCTGAGTCTTGCGTTGATTTACTATGAGGCCGTTAAAGTTAGCCCAATCAGAAATGCTAGTAAGGATATTATTTTCCCGTGGAATGATGTTCCTTGCTTCACTGAAGCTGCCATGGATGTAGAAACAGACATAATTAGCATATACATGGTAGTTGCAATCCCTCAGGATTGCTAAAAGATCATTTACAAATAAAGAGAATAGCATAGGACCCAGGAGGCTGCCCTGAGGGACACCAGAGCTTCTGTACAGGGTCTGCGACAGCTCACTATCAGGTGAACGTACAGTTTGTATCCTATTTGTAAAGTATGATTTCACTCATGTAGCAGCTGTATAGGAAAAACCAATTGCTACAAGCTTTTCCACTAACAAATCCACTTTTGCGAGGTCAAAGGCACGGGTTAGATCAATGGACACCATAAGAGTGACTTTCTTGTTATTCATGGCCCTCCTGATGTCATCCACGGTACGAATATGGGTAGTATGACAACTATGTAATTTCCTAAAACCTGATTGAAATCAATCGAAGATTCTCTTACTTTCAATGTACTGCAATATCTGATTTAGAGCAACGAATTCAAAAACCTTGGCAGAAGGTGGGTCACTACAAGGGTGCATAAATATCTAGTACTGTACGCAGCATAGAAGAAGAGGAAGAAGAAGAAAACAATGTTCTCGGAGTAACTTCATGTATGCATTAGTGTCGCTGGTAAGTGACGTGAACTTTACGATTGACATGCAAGTCGAGGGTTTTGCGAATAAATTAGTTATGGACACAAGTAAGTGACGTTTATGGTTAAAAGATGCAATGGTAAAGCCTTGCTTGATATAGTTTTACCCGAGGACAGCATTCTTCTTAGTGCTGACAAAAAAGTAATAGCAACTGCCGGGATGTTAAATATGGGTTTTATGAACGGCTCAAGTCTAAATCTCCCACAATTGAGATTTGTTGAAATCAACATTAAAATAATTCTTAAAAAAGACGCCGTTCCTTTTTCTCTATCAGTATTATG